CAAGTTCTTTTATCCAATAATTTAACAGAGTATTATATAAGTTCATGCATAATATTAAAAAATTAGAATATTAAGGTATTTTTAGTCTTAACCTAAGAGCAAAATAGAGTACACTGTCTCACATAAAGTGACAAATTCACTGATTACTCCAGCATCTGATCCAAAGTGCCAGCCAGGGAAAGCCTGGCTAAGGAACTGCATGATCCAAGCCCAGTGAAAACAGATTCTCAGAGGGAAAGATACATATTTCAACAGTGTACTCAAGCTTCATTTAGGAACATCTACATGAAGTTGCAACAACAATTAAAGCAAAATTAGGTTTAGGGAGGCATTATGCATTCGCAATGGCCTACACTGCCTGTGAGATGAGACAGTGTTTATTAAAAAGGAACACTTAGAGTTCCTATGGATTGAATAGCGGTAATCACCAAAAAAAGTAAAGAAAAGACTAGTCAGAGAAGAGGCTTCTAAATGGCACATTATATATAACCATTGTTTGTTTAGAATCTAAAAGCAAGCTTTGGTGATATACACTCACAAACTTATCATGCTTAAGTTAAATGATTCACCGTTTGATCAAATGTTTAATTTTAGCAAACAAAATTGAGGAAGGAGCCAGATTGGCATGACAAGGATCTGATGATCCATAAGTGACTGGAAAATCCAGACTCAGAAATAAACTCTGAATTGGGCCTGCACAGAATGCTTGGGGCACAGTGTCTCATCACACATACGATGCATGCAGTGTCACAAAAAGGCAGACCAAATGGCAACATCCTGCAAAAGCCCTGCTGGCATGTTCTCAAATAATATTGCTATCAGTTTTAGCTGACTACAGAACCTTATAGTTGCCAGAACTAGAAATGAAACTAATCATACTGTGTTTTCAATCAACTTCCTGCTGGCTGCCACCATTTCAAGAATGGAATTCATTTGTTTTATGTCTATTAACATATTTCCCTCTTTTCTGGTTCTAAGGCACTAAATGCAGTGGTATGGTATCAGTCTGGACAATAAAAATGATAAGCAGCAGTCAGTACAGTACAAATGTACTCTAGTGACATACTCTTTTCACAGTATAGGCTACCACCAGCTTACAAGTCCCTTCTATGCATATAACCATTTAACAGTAGTATCCCCAGCCCTCTGATGGTTTCACTCACTAGAGAAACCTTCATGGAGATCTTTAGAAGTCAAAGGGAAATTGCCAGCATGTAGGTCATTAAAGAATCAGCCTCATCTCTAATAAGCAAAAATGCTTAACTGGAATATAATACATCCAGTAATATTTTCATGTATTTATGAAATCTTCAACCTTGAGCTCATATACATCATAAGGGAAAGGCTTCTGAAATCCAGTAGTCTAAGAAAACATAAACATTACACAATTCTGTAATTCTGTAGTCTGTTAACCAGGAAAGTAAGAAAGCATTTTTCCAGGTCATAAGAACCAGAAGTTAAATACAGCATATTTTAGATTAAGACATCTAAGATAACTTGCATACTGAACCCTTTCCAATATTTGTATACTAAGACTATTCCAATAAATAGTGAGATAGCTCCTAATGACTGAAGCTGAAGATATAAAAATAGGGAGAAAAGGGAGCAAAATATTTCCAAACACTAAGTTGTATGAATTTTTCATAAATAACATGAATACAGATGAGGTTTTTTCAACTGAGATTATATGGGTAAGTGAAATGACTCTGTAAAATATCAAGATCATCTCAGTGCTCCATTTAAACTTTACTTGAGCAGAAATTTCTGACTGGAGAGTCTAAAAAGAAGGGCGAGTCTGCAGATTTAAGGATGGATTCCATGATCTTCAACAAAAGGCAAGCAAACGTTAGTTGTTGACCTTAAGCAGATGTTTCAGAAGTTCTTAACAGCCTCACTCAAAAGTATCTTCTTTCAGCTGTTCATTTTTCAGTCTCTCAGATCTTGAAACATTAAGAGTTTAGTAGTTTTCCAGTCTCTAGAGATTCTTGAAACCTAGAGGATCTGAATTTCTAATATAAACCCAAGTCTTCTAAAAGAAGAACCCCTCCAACTTCAATGCAATAGCACATATTAGTCTGCTCCTGTAATCTCTTTGCATGCCATCACTATCAACACGTGTCTCTGGAGCTGCTTCTATCCCTGTTCAACCAATGGGCAAGCTTTAGCACAGTAACCCATAGCTTACTTTAATTTTAATAATGCTTTCAGTCTTTTCCTTAATAGTTTCTGTCTTTGTGGCTTACTGCAGAATACATGCATCTTATTACAAAGAGTCCTATAGGCATTATATAAAATCAATTTCAAAAAACAAAGGCATCATCTTTTATACTTGGTAAAATATAGACCTTATTGTTTGACCCCCAGACACAAAATTGTTCTGCTGCTTACCTGGCTTGGGCTGACTCAAGAAGAACTGTGAAAGGGCTCTCAACCACAGTACTGACCCAAAAACATAAAGCAATACCTCTACACTACCTTATTTACAAATTCGATGGAAACTACTACATCAAATTACAAGTTTCATAACTTTTCATAGCTTTAAACGTACTGGCCCTGTTGTACCAAAACATGACTTGACAGACATTGAGATGATATGAAAGTCACAGGTAAGATGCTGTCTTAAAACATGTCATAACCCTAGGTAGAGCAAGGGTTGCTCTAGGAACCCTAGCTGAAATCTAGAGCAGCAGAATTTCAACTTTACACAAATCTAAGTCTTTCTGCTATCACAACTTACTTTCTTCAGAAAGCTGGCATAAAACTGTAACCCCTTAAGAACTCCTGAAAACGCAACTTCAATAGAAAGGCACATCTGCACTGATTTACCACACAATCCGTTCTAGCACTAGCAAGGCCTAGGTAAATAAGGTCATGTAGTCACTTAAGCTTTTTCAGGACTGAAAAGTACAGCAATCAACTCTGGAAACTGACAGGACCATTTTTTAAAGTGGAAAAATAGATACTTATTTTGTCACTGTGTATTGAAATGCACCTGGCAGACACTTAAAGAGACTGAAAAACAGGCCAATTCATTCACTGTATTAGAGGAAAAAGTGAAGGGTTTGTTCCACACTGCTGTCTTTCAAAATTATCATACAAAATTATCATACAAAAACATCCAGTACATGGATGGCACTCTGAAGGAAAACAAAACGGGAGGGCGAAAAAAATACCAGCTGATATCTGCTTGTGCAAGGGAAGCATGTTTAAAAAAAATCAGCTTTAAAGGCAATGGGTTTTCTTGAGAGCCTCCTGTAACCATTAAGCAGATCCTTGAACACAAAGCACCAGATTTCTTCTCATTATCAAAACATGCTGAACTAGCCAAGAAGTTGAGCCCAAAGAAAAAGTTCACTTTCAACTTTCTACGATTCTCCCATAAGTATCACGTTACAGAAGTCAGTGCACTGCATTAGAGATAGCAAAAACTTGTTCTCCACTACTTTACAAAAAATATCAGACCCAAATATGGGAGCCTAGCAAAACAAACATAAACAAAATTATTTACTATGTCTTTATAATCTGTCTTGTAAGATCACTCCCAACAGGGCCATGGCATTTGTTGCAATTCAGGCTTCTGTCAATACTAAAAAATGGGATTTTGTTTAAAATCCTGCCACTTCAATGAACCAACCAAACCTGCAGTGACATCACTAAATCACTCTTATTGCATCTTTTTTCTCTCAGCCTCCACTTCCCCAGAGTACCTTAAATTGCACGACATAAATCCCAAGAAGGTACAATCACAGACAAGTGTAAATCTCAGGTGGGCCCTCAAAAGTCTATTTAGTCACATATCCTATGAATTTTCCATAAATAAGAACGTTAGGGACTAATGTTGCTGTGATAGACACTAAAGACATTTTACGACGATGTGTATCTGCTAGAATACCATCTCCCATGGTACAAGTGATTTTTTTTTTAAAAATCAGTAATGGAAATATCTTCAACAGACACGACCCTAGAGGTGGTAGTTTAGTAAGGAACAGATTTACTTTTTTTTTTCACCTTTGGCAAACAGGAATGACCCCTACTTCCTTCTTCCTAAAAGGGTATCAGCAACCAGCTAACACGGGCCTTATCTATCTATTATGAACCACTTCGCTTTCATAAGGTGGAGAACGAAGTATGTTTTTGTCCTTAGCCTTTTTCCCTCATTAGTTATGCTGCCCTGCGTGAATCGCAGCGACAGCTCCCGGTTGCCGGGCACAGGGCAGGGATGCGTCAGGGACACCCGTCAGGGCACCCAGGGGCCCGCATTACTCAGCTGCGCCTTTGAGGAGCTGAAGGCAGGCCCCGGAGCGCAGCCCGCAGCCCCAGAGGAGGGGCGGCCTCTCCAGGAAACCTGCGTGCCTGGGAAGCGGTCAGGCCTCCCCCGCCGGGCTGCCGGGAAGGCCGCGGTGTCCGGGCGGCGGGGGGGCCGCGGGCGGCTCCGGCACCCCCTCCCCCTCTGCGCCCGGGGGCAAAGCGGCCGCCTCCCCCCGGGGCACCCGCTGCCTTTTCGACACGGCGGCCCGGGCCCCCCGGGACCCGGCACCCACAGGCACGGAGACATCCCTTTTCCGAAGGGGGGGAACCCCCGCGGCCCGCCCGGCAGGGGCCCGGGGCCGCCCCCTCCCCGCGGCGAGCTGCGGGCTCGGGCCCCGCGACCGCCGGTGCCGGGGGTTACGACCCGGCCCGTTCCACCCCCCGCCCGGCCGAGGCCCCCCGCCGCCTCGCCCTTCGCCTGGCCGCCCGCCCCCCTCCGTCCCTCCCCGCCCCAGCCCAGCCCCGGGCCCGGCTCACCCCCAGAAGCCGCAGGGGCAGCGCGGGGGCAGGCTGGGCGCCTTGCTGCGCTCGCTGCCGGCGTCTCCCATGGTGGGACCGGGGCGCGGGGCGGCGGCGGGCGGGGGGCGCGCGGCTCCCGGCCGGGATTCCAGGCCGGTCAGCTGGAGCCGGGCGGCACCACTGGGGAGGCGGCGGAGGGGGAGGGCGCGGGGGGGCCCGGCCGCACCCTGCCGATGGGGCGGGCAGGGGAGCGGAGACGCGGCGGCACGGGGACGCGGAGCTCCGTGCGACGGCGCCACCCGCCCACCGGTGCCGGTGACCGCCCCGGTGCCACAGCGGCGCGCGCCCGCCCTCCCCGGAGCGCCGCTCGGCCCCTCGCGCAACAATGCGTGCCCCCCTCAGGCACCGTGGCTCCCCCCGTCCTGAGCGCGATGGTTTCGTCAAGCCACCGAATCAGCTGGGAGCGGCATGTACCACAGCACATCCCCGGGGGAAGTTGGGGCGGATCGTGTGCGGGAACTGCGTGAGGGGCGAGTCTGGAGGGCACCCATAGGCTCGAGAAGAGAACACGATTCTCAATGACGCGTCCCAGGCGGGGCTGAGGCCCGCAGAACCGCCTGGAGCCGCTGCCCTCTTTTGCCTCTACCCATACGTTGGGCACACAGTGGTACAGCCAGGAACGGGTGGCGGGGTGCTGGTGCCGCTCGCACATGCGCAGACGGGCCCCTGACGCGGAAGTCTGTCGGAGGGAGCGGGTCCCGGGGGGCCGGGCCGGGCCCGTCCCGTCCCAGGCTGCCGTTCCCGCTGTGCCGGGACCTGCTTCGCCGAGGGACGCTGTTCAATATCTTTCACTTGTCCTGGTCGCTGCCAGCGCAGTGTGCCGGGGCCGGGCCGGCTGTGCGCGCTCGGGAGCTCTCCCCGGAGGCTGGGCGGCTCTGGGGGGCTCCGGTGCGGTGCGGGGTGAGGACAGGGACTTGTTCCCTTGGGGCTCCGCTTGGTGAGAGATCTGGAGGGCCCCGAGGGCGACGCTTGCCCTTCTGTTTGCCTTCTTATCCTGTAGCTGTTCGTCCTCGGTTGCCTCAGTCCGAACTAAAGCCCTGTAGGTGTTTGACGTACTCAGGGTTCTCCTGGCCTGTGGTGAGCACCATGAGGAGACGGAGCTGTGGGCTGGCTACAGCCGGGACAAGGCAGGCCGCGCCGGCCCGCTCCGTGCTCTGGGACCTGCAAGAGGTAAGGGATGCAGGGAGGGAAGAGCACGGCTGGCACGGTCATTACTGGCGGCTCCTTTGACGGACAGGAAAGGAGAGGGGAATTTCCAGCACCTGGACTTGAGGGCTGAGTAATGGGGATTGTACTTCTGGTACTGGTTTAGCCAATAGTATTGAGCAAGATACAGCCTTGCAGTCTCTGTACCTTGTTTTGTCTGTGAAATGGAAATGGTGCTGACCACCCCCACCCCTCCCTGCCAGAAATTTCAGATCTGAGTGGGAAATGTGTGGAAAAATACTGGTGTGGCATTAATGGAGGGGGAATTTGATCTATTCCTGGCTGCTGTTGCCTGTCTTATACTTTGATTTTTGCTTTGCACTTAAAACCAAGGTTATTAAACTTTGAAAATAATAAACATTCTTAACAAAGTTCAGAGTATGTGAATTTTTGTGAACAGTAATTAATTCTGACAAAGATATTATGGCTTTCGTATTAAGCTTCCTAAAGCATCTTTTATCAAATTAATTAATGACAGAAAAAAAGCAATAACAAAGTACATATACACACATGCTTAAAACTTTTTAATAAAAAAACTTAATTGAAATCATGTAAACAAGACTTCTTGTGAAAAAGCTGGTTCATGACAGTTTACTAATGGTGATGATTTTTTCAAACCATTCTAGTCTGGGGTTGCCTGACTCCCAGCTGATGCAACTCTCTGCCCTCTTTGAAGTGTCTGTGGCTGCAAAACACCCTGTGCACTGACCAGCACCAGGCAAAGCTGTCCCTGGGCAAAGCTCTCTGAGGACAAAGCTGAGCTGCTGAGGGTACCAAGAGAAGGGAGTACGTGCAAAAAAGTAGCCTTGGCCTTGTTAACTCAGCCCTTTAAGCCACTAAGTCAGCTGGAAACTGAAATGGTCTCTTTTGTGCTGGTTACCTGCACTACTACCAGAAGCTGTAAACTCCCCTCAGATAAGGAGTGGCTTCTTAAAGATGATCTAATAGGCTTTATGTCTGTAATTGCTATTAAGGTAAGCTCATACTGAGTTAGCTTTCAACTATTATGAATCTTGTGCAGAAGCAGTCTCTCTGCTCAGTACTTCTGTGTCACCTCAAATAAACCTTGGCTTTCATCACCTGGAGAGAGCCTAGAAGAAAGATGGAGTCTGTTTACATGGGCATGTAGGGACAAGGACAAGGGGGAATGGCTTTAAACTGACAGTAGATTTAGATTAGATAGTAGGAAAAGAATATTTAACTGTGAGAGTGGTGTGGCACTGGAACAGGTTGCCTAGAGAAACTGTGCTTGCTCCATCCCTGAGAGTGTTTGAGAACAGCTTGGATGGGGGTCTGAGCAGCTTGGTCTAGTGGAATGTGTCCCTGCCTGTGGCAGGGAGGTTAGAATTAGATGATCTCTCTTTAAGTCCCTTCCAACCCAGGCCATTCTATAATTTTGTAAAATGATGCTGGGATGTCAAAATTATGTCAAAATTCCAGTTTTTCAAGCAGTTCAGATTTTAAAAAACCCTGCAAGGGTGTGGTACTTCACTCCAAAGTTAAACACAAGCATGAATATAGGGACAGTGCTGTTACACAAAGCAAACACTTACTAAGCAAGCTGCCAGTGAAGATACACAAACAACTGACTAGCTGCTACTAATGCCCTAAGGAAGAATAATCTCAGGGACACACACATGATAGGCTTCAGGATTACAGTGCAGCTAAATACTATGGGATCCAGAAGAGGGGAGCATGTGCTTTGATTTCATGTCATGTTTTAATAATGTATTTAGCCTTTTTTATTTTAAACTATGACCTTTGCAACACTGTTTTTGTATATTTGTGATATTTCCCACTTTGCCTAGACAACAGAAAATTACCAATGTATCAGTTCAGCATTGTCTCCTGAAAATTCAGTATGTTAATCTGTACCTGCTTTTCTAAACCTTTTAATGTTTTGATTTGTGTCATGTGTCTGCTAATCACATCCATCCATTTACAACCACCAGAAAGTGTTTTTGTGTTGAAATGTGGCAGCAAGGGGAAGTACAGCTGAGCGATGCTTCTTTAGAGGCTGGCAAGGAGAAAACCGCTTCAGCTGATCTAAAATTAATGCTGTCATGAACAGGGCATTGCAACCTCCATTCAGATCCAACCTCCAACAGATCTCTTCCTAAGACAGGCCTCTGGCCCCTGAGGAGTTTCAGTGCTGACATTTTCTCTGGCTTTTTTTGATCCAGAGTCCATGCCCTGGATACTTTCTCAATAATGTACAAGCATCCACAGACAAATGGATGAACAGCACTTAGGGGATACATAGAGGGATAGGTAGCATATTAGTTGGTTCCAGGGCTGGGAATACTCAGATGCAGAAAGTTATCAAATGATCCAGATGCAGCAAAGCATGTTTCAGCCTTTGGAAGCAAATATGCATTATAAACATGCATTAGGTGGGGGAAAAACCTCCTGAGTGATGGGAAGGTAATTCGGAGAAGAGTGGTGCCTGGAATAGTGAGCAACAGTTTAAGTACATAACAAGAGAAACAGCCCATGCAATTTTAGTTCTGTGTATCTGAATGCATGAAAGACATGGGGAAGGGGCTAATCCTTTCTAATGAGTGACCCTGCAGCTATTCTCCAGGCATATTTTTGCAGACAATTCAGAGAATACAGAGAAAAGTAGCCAAAATACAGGCTGCAGATGCTGAAATACTTGAAAAATCTCATGTTTACTGTCTGGCCATTTGGGGAGAGATTATAATCATACATTCTTACTTAAAATTGTCACCAAAAATAGAAGGTATTTGCTAGCAGGACACACAGAATTTAGTAAAAAATAGAAACATTTCTCTAAGGAGATAAATACCTAGGACATATGCAGAAAGTGTTCTCATGGTAAAGTCTGATTTTAACCTCTCACTGAGGTTCATTTCTAGCTCATTCTCAGCAGGACCCCATTGTAGGATTAGATGAGGTAATAGACCTCACAGAATCAGGAGGCACAACTCCACCAAATTTAGAAGCATCAATTAAATACCATTGTTTCTCAAGAGCTCCCTTTTTTTTTTCTCACTATGCTAGAAAAGGTTGTACCTGTAGAGAATCAGAACATTTTGGGGTGGTTTATTTTAGTATAAACATGATTGCCTGACTGAAATACATGTGCACAACCATAAAGTAGAGCAGGTGGAGAATGTCACAAGTATTGTACATCTTCCTTCTCATCTTGAGATCTAAATTACCATGAAATGATAAAAGTGACTCGTGATGCCAGTCTGTTTGAGAGACTCTTGAACTGATTGAAATAATCACCACTTTTTAATTCCTCTTCAGTAGGCAGATATTCTTAGTGAAGTCTTTTCTTTTGGAAGATCATTCTTGTTAAAACCTGTACTGAGGCTGCGAAATAAAATGAGCATGTGGGAAAGGGCAGTGGAGAGGACATGTCTGAGCTCTAGCCATAGCAAACAATAAAAATGAACAATTATGATGATTCACTAGAGCCCAGGGCATGGACTGCAGACCATGAAGGCATTAACCTGCAGCAAGTCAGCAACATAGATCTGACCCTGGAAAAAGTGACTGATCCGTGCCAAAGGCTGCCTGAATGGGGACTGAGGCTGCCAGGCTTGCAAGTGCCTGCTCTTTGCTGCATAGCTCACCTCATTTTCTGCATTTGAAACGCATACCTTGGGTTTTGGATGCACCTGGCCTGGCAGGTTGTGATCCAGCTGAATGCCTCAGCCTTTGCTTACTCATTTAGTTTAAGGTAGGTGTCAGTGCAAGCTGTCTGAACAGAGAGGTGCCCACACCTTAGCCTCTGGCTTGGCCTCAATGAATCCAACTCAGTTTTCTTTGCTGCTCCAAGGAAGTCTCCAGATTAAAGAAAGCAAGCTGAGCTCATCTTGGCACTCAACATTGCTTGTGTTGACAAAGCAAAAAAAAAAAAAAAAAAAAAAAAAAAAAAAAAAAAAAAAAAAAATCAAAATATCAGCCATGAATTATCAATTTATGAGTCATGCAGATTAGGAGGTTTTTTAGCTGTGTCTTTTTAAAACATAAAACATAAGCTTGAAAACTAAAGGACAAGTTTAAATAGTTACAATACAGAATTTGGAGTTGGGACTTTGACATTCTTCTGGTTATTTTAAGTCTCTGTGCCTCAGTTTCGTTTTCTCAACTGGAAACAATAATCTCATGGGCACTCTGGTAAAGGAGTCTTTAGTGGATGGTGGTTTTAGAAATGAAAAACTGCTGCTGTTGCTATTACTGTGAGTAAGAGAGTGCTATTTCTTTGCAGTTAATGGCTGGATGGAAGGTCCAAGGTTAAAGAGAAAATTCTTAACCAGTTGCAATTTGCATTATTATGACTAACCCAGAGGCAATTAATAATACTTCTATTTTTTCAGACATGTATTTCTTCCCTTTCCTGCCCCTTATGTAATCAAGGGCACTTGGAAAAAAAAGCACAGATGGAAAAATTGGAGTGCAATTAAACAAACATTCTAGGCTAGTCTAAAAATGCCAGATAATGTATTTCAAATAAAAAAATCAGAATATTAGACATGATTTAGTAGAAGGAGTGAGGAAGCCTAGAAAACAAAATTGAGTAGTGACCTCACACAGTATGGTGACAGCAACTAATACTGAAATCACTCACACGAAAATAAACCTGCAGATGCTAAAAGATGTGTAGATGTGATACTTTGGGACATGGCTTAGCAGCAGTGCTGGGTTGACGGTTGAACACAATGATCTTAAAGGTCTTTTCCAACCTAAATGGTGCAATGGTTCTATGTTCTGTATAAGTGAGACTTTCATTATTATTAGAAACCAGGAGACTTATGAATCTGTAATGATGCTGAATTTGTGCTAGGCATTTCCTGGTGCTGGATGGCAGACTCAGCAAAGACCAATCTTAGCCTTTGAATGTTCTTTTTAGCAAATGATTTCCAGTACTTCTTAAAAGAAAAAAAAAAAAAGGTAAGCATTGTGACAGCAATTTCACCGGGAGGAAAGCAGCTTTGGAAAGTGAAACAAGCTGCCTCGGGTCACACAAGAAGGCACCTGCAGATCTAGTAATAGCATTCACATTGCTCAACTCCCAGTATAGCAACCGATGCAGTCTCTCTTGCAGAACTCATGCCTTGGGTGCTCCAATAAGCACCTCCCAGGACCTACTTCCTCTGCCACAGTGTCCAGGTTTGCTTAACAGCAGTATCTCAAGTCATTGCTGCAGCTGCTTGATTTATAAATTGCAGGGATAAAAATGAATAAAGCACTATACATGTCCTTCCATTTGAAAAAGCAGCTTAGGCTGAAAGAATATGGTTAAATGGAAAGGTAGAATATTATAATATTTATATATTTCTTCTGTTTTCTTTACCTGTCTTCAGGATTTTCATAATGCCTTGAGTAAAGGGATCTTATCTGCACCTGTGTCTTCTGGGTCCTACTGCAACACAGATACAGAAGCATTATAAAAAACTCATCTTGCATAAATATGAAAAAGTTCACCTTCATTAGATTGGAAGGTGCCTGCCCCTGGTAATCTATTTGAATATAACTATTTCTGCTCTTTCTTCCACTGCTCTGAAGATGTCAGCCCTAGGGATGCAGCAACTGAACATATTTCTTGGCACCTCAACAGGTTTATTAATTCTCTGACTTCTGACCTGGTGTTTTTGAGTGCAGCTGAGATGGGCAGTAATTCCCTCATAAACACTCCAGTGTCAGGGAGGCTTAATTGCTTGGCGTCATAAGAAAGTGTTTGGTAGTTCAATGACAAAAGGTC